AAAAAAGTTTCTAGCGATTCCCTATCTTGCCGTTTTTCTGTAAAATGTGTTTTGGATAATTGTCTTTTCCTTACTCTGAACAGAGTGGGTAGAAATAAGAACGCAGGTGAATTTGTTTGCTTTGACTTTTATTTCATACCATTTTGTTTTTTCATGCACAATACTTTCATTTTTTTTTTTTTCAATAAAAACGCTTTCTTTCATCTACAGACAAAGTGGTAGGTTAAAAAAATACCTAATTTTGCAACGACACTTAACTTAATTTTTACAAGTGGAATCATAAATCAATAATAGTCTACGACATTGAAGATAACTTAAAATGAAGCACTCGCCACTGTGCGACTGAGTTATTTTACATTTCTTGAAATTCGCATAGCAGCATTAGTTACGTTGCACATGACTCACAGTGCAAAATGCTCCGGATGCTCAGGCAATCTCACAGACAGCAAACAAGTAGCCTTCATTTATTTTTTTCTTCACAAACTTTAGGCAACGCATTAAGGTAAAACATGAAATGAGGCTGCTGAAATAAACAAGGAAAATGGCCAGGTAAAATCTGAAAATACAATATGGAACTATTCCAACCGCACAGCACAATATTATTCGTCTGCAAGCGTTTACACAAAAATACGCATTTACTCGTGAAGCATGCTAAACTTCGCCGCAGGGCAGCGGCGCAGTGAACAGTCTGTCGAATCCGACCCTCAAAAAGAAAAAAAAGACAAACAAGACTATCCTTAATTAGTAGTCAGCTGAGACCAGTGCCCCGGCCGCCCCACCGGAAGACCTGGAGGTGTCCCGAGTCGGCGGCGCTGCGCAGTGGACCAGAAGACCGGTGCAGGCGGCCAAAACTCTAAACGCGTTTTGAGCTCCAGAGTCGCTAAACAGGACTCGAACCGAACGTGTGACCCCACCAACGGATTCCTCGTTCGGAGAGCAATCCATTGGTGGGGTCACACGTTCGGTTCGAGTCCTGTTTAGCGACTCTGGAGCTCAAAACGCGTTTAGAGTTTTGGCCGCCTGCACCGGTCTTCTAGCCCACTGAGCTGGGGACTCGCTTACAGGCAGCGATCACATTGAATCCCGGTACAGTGTACCCGGTACACCGGGAAGGAACAAGTTGGTGTTCGATTCTAACGTCCGTCCGGCACGGCACGGCACGTCACACGGCACTGCACGACACACGGCACTGCACGTCACACGGCACTGCACGTCACACGGCACTGCACGTCACACGGCACTGCACGTCACACGGCACTGCACGTCACACGGCACTGCACGTCACACGGCACTGCACGTCACACGGCACTGCACGTCACACGGCACTGCACGTCACACGGCACGTCACACGGAACGGCACGGCGGTCCTCACGCTTCACTCTGGCACTGGAGGGGCCGCGCAAGAAGCGGCCGCACGAACGCAGCCAGAAAAACGGGGACGTTCTCCCAGTGTGGCGGCGTGCCTAGTGCCAGGTGGGGGCGCGGCGCTACCTCTGCCTCCGCGGCGTCGTCACGAACACCCTGGTGGAGAAGGCCTCCTCCTCGGAGATCTCCAGGTCGCTGACGGCCCTGGCCTTGCCGGCGGCCTTGGGCTTGGCCTTCTGCCGGAAGGGAGGCGGCTGGTCGAAGCCGTCGTAGCGCTCCCGGTAGTCGTCGTGGTAGCCGAGGATGAAGTCGTCCTCCAGGTGCTGGCGGTTGCGGTGCGTCTGCAGGAACTCGAGCAGGTAGGCGGGCACGTCCTCGCCGGCCTCGTCGGCCTTGGCCATCTCAAGGAGCACGGCGTCGGTGGCGCTGTCGGCGCGTCTGGCGCGCAGCACCGCCTCCCTCAGGGCCCCGCCGACGACCTGTGGACACAGCGGACGGACGCGTTAGCAGTGGACGTGCAGTTTCCGCCGAACGGGTTGCTCTGTCTCTCTCACACTCGTGGAGCATTCTGAAGAGAAAGACAGTGTGCCGGAAGACTGGAGGAGGCGGTCAAAACCCCGACGCGTTTTGAGCTCCAGAGTCGCTAAATGGTACTCGAACCGAACGTGTGACCCCACCATTGGATTGCTCTCCGAACGAGGAATCCATTGGTGGGGTCACACGCTCGGTTCGAGTCCCGTTTAGCGACTCTGGAACTCAAAACGCGTCTGGAGTTTTGGCTGCCGGCGCCGGTCTTCTGGCCCACTGTCAGTAGGCAACCTTTTCTACACCGCCCCCCTCTAGCTCCACCACCCGCAAACAACGCTTCTCGGAATGAGCCTGCGGCTGCACACGGCGCACGACAGCAGGCTGTCTCACTCGCACTCATGGGGCGTGCGGCGCCCCGTTTGGGTGCGAGAGAGACAGAGCGATGAAAGCACTGCCCCTTCCCCGTGCGCCACCTTGCCGTGGCAACGGTCCGAATGGGAGCGCACGCGAGCGCCGTTCTTTTGTTTGAATTTGAATCCGCTTCCCGCCGTTTTCCTCACGGCCTCGCGCCGTGCCGTGCGGCGCACAGTGGGCCAGAAGACCGATGGAGGCGGACAAAACTCCACACGCGTTTTGAGCTCCAGAGTCGCGAAGCAGGACTCGAACCGAACGTATGACCCCACCAATGGATTCCTCGTTCGGAGAGCAATCCATTGGTGGGGTCACACGTTCGGTTCGAGTCCTGCTTGGCGACTCTGGAGCTCAAAACGCGTCGAGAGTTTTGTCCGCCTCCACCGGTCTTCTGGCCCACTGTGCGGCGCCGTGCCGTGCCGGAATGAGTTTTCCGGTGATGGCCGTGTGTTGTGGCGCCAGCGCGGCAGGCAGTGCCAAGTGGGACACGCACGGTCTGCCGGCGACGTGCCGTTACTGCAAATGCGCAAGCAGTGTCAAAAACCCCGGGTTTGCCTACCGCCGCCGGCTGCTGTGGGCTTTTAATTTTTTTGGCCGTTGTCTCGGTGCGTTTCACCGTTGGTGACCCAAAGGACTTGCTCATTCCCGGCGGGGCTTGGCCACCGCCGGTCGCAACGCTCAGCAAGGAGGCTTGAGAGGTGGTGGAGTGGGTGCACAGTGAGCCAGAAGACCGGGGGAGGCGGTCAAAATACCGGCCGCGTCTTGAGCACCAAAGTCGCCTGATGGGACTCGAACCGAACGTGTGACCCCACCAAGGGATTGCTCTCCGAATGGGGAATCCGATGGGTCACTCGGAATCATGGCGACTCGAAATCTCAAGACGCGACTAGGGTTTCGGCCGCCGGCGTAGGTCTTCTGGCGCACTGTGGGGGTTGGGGTGGGGCGGAGGTCCTACGCCGGGCAACCATACCGTGCAGCGCACCAGGCTACGTCCCTCGCGCCGGAAACCAAAAATTACCCCCCAAATTACCCGCCAGGGTGAACGACAGTCGCTGTTTCGCAACTGCCACACAGAAGGCAACGAAAAGGACCGGGCGGCACCCGGAGTCGAACCTCGAACCTGGGGGCGCTGCGTCAACACGCCGGCCGCCGCCGTTCTGGGTCAAAAGCTTGCGTCCTCGAGCCGACAGCACGGCCGGCAGCAGTCTCTCTCTCTCTCTCTCTCTCTCTCTCTCTCTCTCTCTCTCTCTCTCTCTCTCTCTCTCTCTCTCTCTCTCTCTCTCTCTCTCTCGGGCGGCGTCGAGGCTCTGTGTCCCTCCAAGTGGCCCTCTCAGCGGCCCGGCGGCAAGCGCGGCAAGGGCCTCCTCCAGCCCTTCAGCCACGCCCGGTGACGGGGCTGCGCACAGTGGGCCAGAAGACCGGCGCCGGCGGCCAAAACTCTCGACGCGTTTTGAGCTCCGGAGTCGCTAAGCAGGACTCGAACCGAACGTGTGACCCCACCAATGGATTCCTCGCTCGGAGAGCAACCCATTGGTGGGTCACACGTTCGCTTCGAGTATTGTTTAGCGACTCCGGAGCTCAAAACGCGTCCAGAGTTTTGGCCGCTTCCACCGTTCTTCTGGCCCACTGTGCGCCGTTATGCAGCGACAATGCCGCCGCAGCCCCGCCGCAAATGACGTCATTCTTTCTTCCCGCTGCCGTCTCCCTTTTGTGCTCTAGTTAAGTTCGCGCACGCACGCGCCGCGCAGCGGACAGATCCCGGAGAGTCGTTTTCGTCGCTCTGTCTCTCTCGCACTCACGGCGGGTCCAGTTAAGGTGCGAGAGAGACAGAGAACGACTCTCGGAATCAGTCGCCGCAGCGCGCAGCCGCCCGTTTAGGACGCCCACTGCGAAGCCGGCGAGGCGCGATACGGAACGGAATTAGGGCGAAAAATTTGCCGCGACGACGCCGCTACACTGCCACGCTGGCTCGCTGCGGTGCAGGCGGTGCTTACACTGTGCTTACACTAGATACGGTGGGGCGGGGCGAGGCGGGGCGGGGGGCGGGCGGGGCGGGGGGGCGGGCGGGGCGGGGCGGGGCGGGGCGGGGCGGGGCGGGCGGGGGGGGGCGGGGGGGCTGATGGGGCGGTCGTGGCGGGACGTGCCCACCGCCGTGGTGGCCGAGACGTGCTCGCCGAGCGACCGAGCGGCCGGCGAGACGGCCGGTCGCTTTCGTCGCTCTGTCTCTCTCGCACTCACGGGGCGTCCCGTGAAGGTGCGAGAGAGACAGAGCGAGCGACTCAGTCGCAGTCGGCACGGCGGCGGCGTGGTCCGGGTAAGTGGCCAGGCCAGCCGACACTTGGAGACTTTGTACAAGTATGACGTGTCGGCGGGGGATTTGGGGAAAGGGGAGGGGGATATTCGAAGGAGAGATTTGGGCAAACAGAACATGAGCCCCGTCCAGTTGGGCCACGACGGCTTCAGGACCGACCCGGGGTCGAATCGAGCCACGGCCTGGCGCACAGTGGGCAAGAAGACCGGTGGTGGCGGCCAAAATTCTGGACGCGTTTTGAGCTCCAGAGTCCCTTATTGGGACTCGAATCGAACGTGTGACCCCACCGATGGATTGCTCTTCGAACGAGGAATCCGTTGGTGGGGTCACACGTTCGGTTCCAGTCCCATTTAGCGACTCTGGAGCTCAAAACGCGTCCAAGTTT